CTAGAATTGTACCACTGCTTTTTCAGAGCAGAGGAAGCCCCTGGCTCCAAAGACCCCCATCTGACCACTCCACCATCCTCTGTCACAGTGCTTCCACCACTGCCGCACTTTAATACCCTTCTAAAAGGTTTCTCCTTATCTCCTCAAAACTGATCGTCACAACACAACTCGCGCCTGATTTTGCACCAATTTCAGTGGAAGCTGAGGAAGAATACAATAATAACATTAAAACACTTTCATGGTAACCCAGAAATTGAACATTAGTTAAGCCCTCAAACAAGTGTATTAACCAAACAGAGAAAATATCCTGGAGAACTTTTGAGAGGAGAAAGTGCCTCTAGAGGCAGATTAAAACATACACACTATTCACTTATAGTTGGGATCACATACTCTGAATCATGAGATTTCCTTAGAATTGCAGTTTTCATCTTTTAAGCATTATCTAGCAGTGAACCACACTGCATAGAGCGGATTTTCTTGAAAACTTCACAAAGAAGTATGTTTATTTAATTACTCTGTTATCTACTACCCAGGTAGAAAGAGTAAAGTTGTTTGGGTTGGGGAGCACTTGGTTTGCTAGAGGAAGTCAGTTCAAGGCTGAAGACAGGGCTGGCTCATACAGCCTTGCCATGCAAGTGTCAAGAACTGCATGTGCCCAAGCTGAAGAAGGGCAGAATACAGGCAAAAGTTTCCAATTTGCTGAAGATTTATTTTGTAATGAACACGGAGCTGCAGGGAAAACAAAATAAAACAAAAACCAAACCAACAAAAAAGAAATCCAAGGAAAAATCCAGGAGAGACGAAGGCATCAAAACCTTCTGTTAGAGGGATTTCTCTCTCTCCAGCAACGGCCACCAGTAAAAAACAGAAGACAGAAGACAAAAGCAATAAGTTTACTAAGCAGTTCTGTCTTTCCATTTCCTAAGAAAGAGACTGTACTAGAGGGTCTTGAAAAACATTTCAGGGCAATCAGGTTGCAGGATACCAATGGACACATTTGCTACATACTGAGAAACTCTTAGCCTGGGAGGCCCTCGAAGACTAGATGTAGATAGTTTCTAAAGCAGAAAGGTCTGTGGGCTTCCAAAGGTTTAGAACCAGTAGCACAGCAGAAGGTGACCGTCCATATGAAAACTAACTGGGTTGTAACACTAATTCCTCTTGGTTATTGACAAAAGTTTCAAAATCTGTTTTTAAGTCTAATCTTCATATCAATGCCCATGTAAGACCAATAAGTAGTTTGAAGCATCTCTGACAGCTCAAGATATTCCATGCATCTCTCATCTGTAAAATCAAAGACCTTACTCTTAGGAAGATGGGCCAACCACAGGTGCATCAGGAGACTCTGGAATTCATAGAAGACCTTCTACCATGAAATCAAGAAGGGCCTGGGGCTGTTTTCTCAGCCTATTTGAATGAATGTAACATCTCAGCAATACATAGTTTTAGTGGTCCAGTGATGGACAAGATGACAGCATGGCAAAGAAAAGCTCCAAGTTAGCACGTATATAAACTGGCTGTGACCTGGAAACGGAATAGAGCTAACTGAATTCAGGTCATACTTGACTTTCTCAAGACTGCAGTACAACTGCTTTCTTAGGAGACACAAAGCCAAGTTCAGAAAACTTATTGCTTAGTTTTGCCTTAAGGTTTTGATTGGTGCCATTGCTGGGGAGTAGCACAATTTCTATCACAACACCAGAGCCCATCTGGGTTTTCAGATCAGTGCTTGGCAGATACCCAAGCATAATGCAAGCAAATTTTTTTTTTTCTGGATTAAAACAGTATTGAAGAATAGTGGCACGGGGAAAACGTCCTTTAGCCTTAGATGAACTGTTAATCCATCGTTTGGAGAATTTACAAATAGCACGCATTTTACAGCAATTTTGGTAAGACTGATGGGTGATCTCCTCAGATGACTCTCCTGGTTATTCCAGTACTCTATTTCATTGAAAACTGTCTGTATTTTCAACTAGATAATTTAATTTTCTGTTCAAAATTACTTTTTGACAGTAAATATGTACCGTATACAGATTAAAAGATATGCTCCGTAATGAGAAATTATGATTAATTTTATATTTCTAAAAGACAATTTTATTCATTTTAATCATGGTAAATTGAAGAACATTAATTTTATTTGTTTCATTATCAATATGAACATTGCTTTTAAGATTTTAAATAAAATACTATTGTATGCACAATACCATTAAAATTATCAAGTCAAAGCATAATAATTCCATAAAATTGTGGGCATGATTGATTTTTTAATGGACTGTTCAGTTGTTCTCTGACCCCCTAAGGATTTTTTTCTCCCAGCCTCTCATACACAGTAAATTCATTAAATCCAACCTATCTCCCCAAAGTATTGCATCATTATAGAGGTATATAGAATCAAATACCAAGTAAAATAGAGCAAGTGAATTCTACTGCTAAAAAGATTGAGGAGAAAAACCCACAGAAAACAAAGTTAAAATAGCAGCCATTATGAATGAACACTGACAGTAATATTTTACTCATCTCCTAGTAAGCATTTTGAGGGATTGTTCCATTAATTTGCAAGAGTACGCATCATTAATAGCATGTTTCTAACATCATTATTTTACAGGATCAAAAGGAAACTCTGCAATCTAACTATAAAAATATTTAGTCTCTATGGACCAAATCAACATCTGAATTTTTTCAGAAACATAAGTAAGCACCTCACACATTTGGTTGCTATTTTATTGTCTTTTATTAGTTGTACATGCCACTACCCCAAAGAACTTGCATTCTCTCATAGACATAACACAAAGGAAAACAAATACACAGTTAGGGAAAG